ACATATCCATTTTTTTAAAAGCAAAAATGTAAATGCACTAATGTTTGTTACATCAGTGTTTCTCACTTTTTATATACATGAATAAAATCTGAATTAGGCCTGCCTGAGGTTTTCAAGCTGAAGGATATGAAATGCCGTTTAAATAGGAAGGACTTTTCTGATCAAGAGATTGATCAAGACTCATTCTGTATTAAGAATGTGCTTCAATCAGCTGGAGATGCTCTTGAAAAGGGGCAGGAGTCTCACTTATCTTCAAAAGTTGAATTTTAATCCGGTTTATGGTTGCTTTCCACATTTGCAAAGAGATTCGCTCATCTTTTCAGCCAGGAGGAGCACAGTTTTGAGAGATACATGTGATGACAGAGATTTCAGGGGAGTAAATAAAAATACAATAGAAAGAATATTAAAACACAGAAGGGACTAAAGTGATCTAATGAGAAACATGGTAATGGTTTGCAGTGAGGAAAAGGAGTGAGCTGGAAAATTATAATGGAAGGAATTTATATTTTTAAAATTGAACTGGTTGAAGCCTAGAAAGTAGCTGCACTTAACATTAGTTTTAAAGTGTGTGTGTGGGTTACCATCTTTTCACGGCAAGTGTTACTGGAAGCACAAGTACAGCCGTCATTCATTTATTTTTGACTTGCATACTGAACTGGAGTTTGGAAGCGGTACTGCTTCCTCACAGGGCCATCCCAAGAGCTGGGGATATTCAGATTGTGGAAAATCTTTAGACAGAGTCTTCTCTACCCTGCCATGACCCAGCAGTCAGTGAGGGTATTAGTAAGCGTTACAGAAGTCCTGTTATGCTTATATTTCAAGCAGCTGGGAATCAAATCCTATGGCATTAGAGCTGCTTTGCACCATTATTCTATGGCTTGAGATCTAGCCCATTTTGTGTATAGTCAGTGGGCCCAATTCTGCTTTTACACACTCTACATTTACCCAGCTATATTGCCACTGAAATCTTGAGTGTTACACAAGTATAAAATCCATGTGTGTGAGGAGAATTTGACCATGCAATTGGTTTTGCAGTCATTTAGTAATACTTAATATTTACAGTGAATTACTTTTGCAGCTTTCATAGTAAGTAGATAAAATGACTGTATTTAAAAAGGCCTGATACTGCAATGTATCTGCAATACTATCTGTTCTTTAACTCTGGTGTTTACACCTCTGATCTAGCCACATAGCTACCAGTGTGTGTATGTGAGAGAAAGTGGAATGTATCTGCAGCTGAAAAAACAAAATGAGGACTTGATCTGGACAGGGCTCGTGTTTAATACAAAACACTACCAAAAGCTTGGAAGTTCTGTTCAAACAGACGCATGGATAATGTATTTGATTTACCAGGTTTGTGTCCAGCGTGCCTGTGTGGAGACCTGTGGAAATGTAACAGGGATGAAATGTCTCTTGGGAGAGGGAATAAGTGTGTGAGGTGTGAAGAAGCAGGAGGAGATGGCTGGGGAGAGGACTGAACAAGCATCTCATCTTTGTTTTTTTCAGATTTGCTCTGTCCTGTGTAGAATGTAATTTACAGTTGGAAAAGTAATATATATGACACCCTGCTGAGAGAGAATGGAAGATTTGAGGTTGCTTAGTTTCTGTCAGATTTCTGATATGGCATGCCTGGTCAATGGCGCTCTCTTTTCCTGAATGATAAAAGTATTACAGGAAACTAAAACAGGTTTGTGTGCTCCTTAGACTTTAATTGTCAGTTTTCAGCACTGCAAATAGAAGAATAAGAAGTTATAATGACCAATCTGACAATGCAAAGTGAAACTGAAACAATAATGCTTGAGGACAAAAGAGAATTGGAAAAGTAACATCTTTCGAAATGGAAATATTTTACGAAACAGAAGAAAGAACTTACTGACAAGGTGATCTTTTAATTATTACAAGTTAATATGCTTAGGTATATATTCAATGTATATTTATATACATATTTTTTTAATTCCATGGATCTCACAGAACTACTGCATCTTTAACATTTTAATTGCTAAAGTAAGGGTAGTAGCAGACATTTATATAGCAGCTTTATCCCAGGACCTTACAGAATTTCTCATTACATTTCTCTGACAGAAATAGGAATCAGTTTCCCAGAAAGGAGAGTGAAGATCCAAAGTCACACAGTCTGTGTCTAAGTTGTATGGAATGGATCCTCTGTGGGCACCTACATTAAGTACTTCCATCCAATCACACAGGCTGGAAATGTGCCATAGCTCCCTTCTAGTCTGTGTACCCAGGTTTTCCTAGCTCTTACTCTTGACATGGGACTTATTTGAGCCAGGGCATCCACACAAAAGCAAAGATTAGGAAGTATTCCTGGACCCCAAATATCGACATAATTGTGAAAATCAGGGTTAGGTCTGAGTCAGGAGTTCAATTCTTTGTTCTAATCGCTTGGCCTTATACTTTCCACAAACTGCTGTTTTTTCTGTGGGAAATTTGTAATGATAGGTCTTGAGTCCTCATCCATTTAAGTCAGTGGCAATTTTACCATTGATGTTTGTAAGATGAGGTTCGGACATAGATACATAGGATAAGATTGTATTTAATTATCCGCAGTGCTGGTTTTACTGTAGTGGCCAAAATGTTGCCTGTCGCAACCCTTAGAAACAAAGAAAAAATCAGCCAACTTCAAACTACTGGCTTACGTTACAAAACCTTTCCATTTTCAACAGGATACGGGAAATATCTAACAGCCCCAAGCAGGAAAATTGTCCCAGGAATAGCACTGTGCATGAGCAAAACTTTGTATTTGTTTTTGCATAGTTGGCAAAGAAAATAAACTGTGTTTTACTTACTTTCACATAACATATGTAGTACCTAAGCAGTGAACTGCTTAAAGAAACCTGGATGATGAAACTTAGACTGAAGAAACATAAAGATCAGGAAAGGCAAACCACAGAAAGGCAGTGGCCAAAATTTTTAAGATGCACTTTGAAAACATTTAAGAAGCCTCGGTGTTGATTTAACTTCTTCCTATACATCTTATTTTTATATCTTAGAAAGGAAGCTGAACAAAGTAATACAACATGGAAAAAGAATTTTCAGGTTCTACAGAACAGGTTTAATATTATTGCATTGACTGTGTTGATAAAATACTTGAGGCCTACAGATTTTTGCAAATTCTATTTGTGAAAATTAAGGGAGTTATATGCATTATTCAGTTACCTAGTCATTAGCATTTGAGGATGTAATAGCTAGGTTTAAAAGATTGGAATTAAATATTAATGGACTAAATAATATACTGTTAACCTGCTTGTAACAATGCTAAACACTTCAGACAGGTAGTTTTGTATGATTGTGTTAATAGTACTCAGAGTCCTTAAAAACAAAACTTGTTTTGAGTGCTGTTTCTTTAATGTCTTTCTTATGGCAGTTTTCAGTGAGATTTTAAGTTGTTAATACTCTTTTTTTAGCCTATTTGTTTCTCTTTGTCTTATTTCCTAATGCTGCTCTTTCCCAGAATTCTTTTTCATCTCCCTTGTTTCATACCCACTATTTTCTGTCACTAACTTTCTCTGTCTCAGAATCACAGTGCTTGCTTTTGGTTTTCATGGGATGACAGTTCTCCTTTAAGCATACTTCTTTTACTCAGCCAGTTTCCTCCTCTGCTCTATCCATCCTCTCTGGAATCTTCATCTTCCTTTTCTATATTCTGAAGATTTTGACTAAAAAATGCTGATTGTCAAGACACACAAATTCCCTCTAATTGTCAAATGTAATGAAGTTCTAACAAAAGAACAGGGAGTCTCCCATGAAGTTCTGCTCAGAGTCATAGAGACTGGCTGACAACTGTAGTGCTTCCAGGTCACACAGCTCCTCACACACTACTTGGGACACAGCTTTCTGATTTGCCATGAAGCTGTGACTGAGATTGAAAACCTTGTAAAGCGATGAGTTCCCTTGGTCTAAAGCTGGTCCTAGTATAAAGCTTGCCTGTTGGAAAAGCCTTATGGTGTTTCTTGGGCAAGTAGCAATTGGACAACCAGATGTGCTAGGACTACATCTATATTGACAATTTTTAATGTAGTAGATACATTTGTTGTTGGGTCTTGGTTCTCTATCAGCCTCAGTGTGTCTCTTGCTTTGCTCATATTCTTTTTTGGAATAGAGTAACCAACTCCTCAAGACAAAACCCTAGAGCAGTTCTGGTGCTGTTTTGTTCCCTACAGGCAGTAGAGATGAGATGGCACACCCACATAACATCAGGCCACATCTCAGAACATGCAACATATGTGTTTGCACCATGCTATAAAAACATCTCTCTCACAAGCCATGATGTAGCCCAGTGCTATTTTAGGTAGAAAACTACAGACTAAGAATACCTAAAATCCACACATGCTCGGTATGAATGCAACCAGTCCACTGGATGGCACTAGTACTGACCAGTGTGGACAACAAATTTTGTGGCGTGTCTTAGGTCTGTGATTTTCCTCTCTGCAGCAAGATATTTTAGTACTGTATATCTTACGTAGTACCTTTATTGTCTGAAGACACATATGAGATTTACTAAGACTGAACCCCACAGTGTGCAAACAGGGTGGAAAACCTCAGTAGACTCCATTCTGACAAGGGCTGTCAGAGCTTCCAGAGTACCTCCTATGAACCTAGGAACTACGGTCTGAAAGCTCTGGGACAAAACGTGAAAGCTGTAGGGGTTTACAGCCAGAAGTAGTTTGCATGTGAGTGTTGCCCAAAACAGCACAAGAGGAGACCCATAGTAGATGACAGATGACTTGGTGGAATCTTTGCTACTGTTGTAGGGGTGAATCAGACAAACTTTAACTTCAGATTTATGGAGTCCTGAGGGAATCTATTTAATCATGTAAATATAATATTTCATTCTTTACAACATTTTTTTTCCCAGAATTTCAAGTTTATTTCAAATTCATCTGGACTGATATCAAATTTTAAAGAACTAAATTTTCAACCAACTGCACATTCTACTGTATTTCAGACAGTTCTTTTCCTGTATTTTTTTATCTCCGCAGCATTAATCAAAGGTGTGGAAATGCGGTAATTCCTGTTCTACAAATGGTGAACTGCAGTGAAGGTACATCCATCGCTCAGAAAACTCTCTGTATTGTGCTTCATGCTTGTTTAGTTTGATACGGTATCTCTAAGGTCAATGGAATGTTTCTCATTATGGTCAGTATTCATTGAAATAGGCTTTGAGTTATCTTCTCATCTGAAAATGGTTGAGAATACGCTGTGTTGATAATATAATGACAGTGTTATCAGTGGTTTTAGTAATAATGCAAGTCTCTGTATAAAAATAAAGCTCTATTATTCTTACCAGGTCTACATTAATGAGTATACACTGTGTTACCTGAATAGGTAGGTACTAGAGGACTTTATTAATAGATACCATTAAAATTGCTTGCTTAAATAAGAGATTAATTTATCATTTCATTCACAGCTAATTGTTGTAAAATCACAGCAACAGATACATTTTCATGAAAAGCCAGTTAACACTGAGATATAAATAGATTATAGAAACATCCTTGGGTTTGCTTCATTCTTTTCTGACAGTTTATTAAGGAACCAGGCAAATTATTTTTTCATAACAGTGTAACTATCTGGGCAGCAGATATTTACCTCGGATTTAGTCTGTATATTGTTATATTTTATTATATTCATATTTTTAAAAAAAAACTATAAAATACGTGAGCCCTCTTGTGGCCAAAAGATCTTCTATGTGCCTCTTGAAATCATCAAAGACTGTGTGGTGTGGTGAATGAAGTGCCTGAAAAATATCTAGAAAACACTGAATGTAAATTTGTTTAGTTAGTACTTCTAATGTCAGTTCTCTTTCATTTTGCATAACAATTAAATACATTTAAGTTTTCCTTTGCATCTTTCTTAATTTACTGTTTGTAGCTAAAATGACCATGAAGTTCTAGTTTTGTAACTAGATACAAACAGGGCACAGAACTCCAAGATTTCTAATAAATTTGTTCTTCTACTGTAATTGCCATGAAAGGTGCTAGTTAATGTAGAATGGGTTTTGTGGAGATCTTTTTTATGACACAGGGTTTTTAACTTGAAAATCTTCATATATATATATATATATCAATGGTTTGAGTCATATAGGACCAAACATAACTATCAGAGTGAATTATCTTTTAGTTATTGCTGAACTGGAGCTGAACTCTGGTGATTTTGAGGCAGAAGAGACTGTATTTCACTGCCGCTTACCATTCTTTCCTCACAGATTCATGGGAAAATAATCCAAACCATCCAAGCTACATATTCTTATTTAAGAAAAAATCTTATCCCCTGATACCATAATTTCCATGGGTTTTGAGGTTTTTCACTTCCCTTCATTAAAATGGTCTGTTTCTGCAGTGTAATACCTTTCTTTGTAAAGAAAGAGGAAGAATTTTACAGCTGTTCAAATTACCTCATGAACTGGACCTTGAGAAATTAGGTAGCAATTTTCATTGATTAGATAAGATATCAGCACTCTGTGGTTAAAGTCATAGTAACTTTAGAGACAGGAAAAGGATGATACTTTAAATTCAAAGTGTGTATTCTACTCCTCACAGATTCCTCACTGCATAAGGTCTGTTACTTTACTCATACACCTGATGTAATATATTAATGGCATTTTAACATATATATGTCCCATGGATTGCTGAATGCTTACTGGTTATTTGTTCTAATTTTGCTGATCAATAGTGTTTGCTTAATTATTTTCCCTGGGGCCTGAAAAAGGTACAAAAAAGTTTTGGGTTTTTTTCTTGTAAGTGGCTATTTTAAAGGTATGCTGGAGAGTATTGGTTGCAATATCTTAACCTTCTGTATCATGATATTCATGGTACTTGTACAAAATTATTTATTTATGACACAACTATATATATGTTAAAGAAATACAAACTATCAACACATCTATTTATATTTTTTCTGGTTTAATCTGCTCTTTTATTTTTGTTTTCTGCTATTTTTATTTGTGTTTATCACAATCTTTTCAGTAGTATGGAATAAGATTAAAACTGGAGTATATTTGTTAATTCTCTGTTGCACTTTATCTATACTTTTTGTAAAAAAATTTAACATACATGCATACATCAAAGAGATGCCGTATTCACAAATGTGCTTGATGTTCATTCTTAAAAGCATTTTATCATTTCATCCTTAATATAACCTCTCAAGGAACAATTTGCAAAGAGTCACTGTAGAATGAACTGAATTTAAGACTTCTAGTACCTGATACCCTATAGAAATAATATCCACAGGAAACACACAGGAGTTTATAGAAAATATGTCAGAGAAGAGGCAAAGATTAGTGAATTTAGTCAGGAAAGAAAAAAAACAAACTTCACATTCATTACTGGTGAAATCAGGCAAATTTCTCATTTTCAAAATTTGGATGAATGCAAATATTAATTGGACAAAAATTATGGTAATAATCCATAGATTGATTGATTTCTTTAAATAAGAAGAATTCAGCTGCAGTGGTTTTTGACCAGCCTTCAATGTTATTTTAAATGGAAGCATCCCCTAAGATTAGCCAGTGATGGTGAAAATGCTGTAAACTTGAATTTAACAGATTAACAATCACATGAGATAGACTGAAGCCACCCAGAACTAATATGCTCCATCTATATTTAAGAGTCTCATACTTAAAACTCTCAAGTGAGTATCAGTCAAATGTCTGCTTCATTATAATTATTTTAGAATTTAAATTTCAGTATGTTTTTAATTATGTATTGTAATTATTAAGAATTACAACAGACTAATGTAGGTTAATTTAGTGTGAAAATCGGAATCAGTCTGCATGTGATTAAAGCTGAGATGTTTCTTAGAAGAAAACTGCAACACTAGTTGCTAGCAGTTAAATGTACATCTCTCAGTGATACAGTAAGTAAAGACAAGGCAACTGGTTTATTTTATTTAATGCTTCATCTCTGTCTAAAGAAACCTTTCTAATACAACAGGACATAAAAGCCAGCTCATGCTGTATGATAGTGAAAATTATGAAATGCTAAGTCCAACAGAGGCAGATTGCCAAAGTTGGATATGCTCAGCCGCATGCAGTACAGTCTTGTGTACATCATTTGTGGGTACAAATAGGACATAAATTCTGCCTCCACTGTCATACATCACTAGGTAAACATAACATCCATCTGCAGTGTATGAATGATTTTGGCAAAACAGAATTGGGAGTTGTAAATGTTTAAAATTCATTTATTGCATTGCAGTTGGTCTTAAACGGAAGAACTGCTTTTATTTCCTTCATACAGAGTGTGTAGGAATGTTTTTGTGCTGTTCTGACAGGATAGTAAGAATTTCAGGGAGAATGAACAAGGATGGAACTTGTCAAATTGAAAACATTTTGAGTACATCATCACTAACATAATGAATGTTCAAACACAGAGTTGTATTAAAATAGTACTTTCTATTATTTTTTTCCTGGTTAAAGTCATATATCAAGTTTAATCTCAAATATATTCAACTCTCATTGTAAAAGATGTACAATTCAGGAACAGTCCAGTTAAAACATATTCCCTTGATTTAAGAATGATTCTATAGTGATGTCAATTCCATATTCAATTAGAGTCAACAAATATTACATCCTTGTTAAATTATTTTATTAATGTTGATTTCTCACTTATCCACTTATATGCCTTAAGCTACACTTTCTTGAAATGTGTTTAGTATGTGATCAGCATGTTACTTACAGGTGACTTGTCCGGTTTCCGTTGAAAATGACACAAGAGATATGAAGGGATTCAGAGCTGGGTTATATTTGCCTTTGATTTTGCTATGTAACGTCTTTTTTTTTTTAACATAAATGTTAAAATGTGTTCTGTACTTGATAAAATTTTTGACAATTTTGTGAAGCATAGGATAAGAATTTTACATATCCAAGAGTCAACATTTATCATTTGCATAATGGAAGATTGTTTCCAAGGAAGTGTTTCTTAATGCCAGACAATGACTTGCTGCAGACATATCTGGAATTTCCCATTTCTCTACAATATGAATTATGATTATTGCCATGCATTTTATATTATTGGGTTTTTTTGAAATATTTAACACATTCAAATTTTCTGATATTTTTGTTTTCAAATGCATGCAATAACAAGTATTTCTGAAAAGCATCCCAGCTTCAGTTTTAAAGCCAGATGCAATATTAAAAAAAAAAAAAAAAACAACAAACAAACAAACAACCCAAAAAACACACTTAGGTGGCTCTAATTATAACCATATGCATATGAACTGACGTAGCATTGTTTTAGGGGTTAGCAGGCCAGTGTAAGCCTGATTCATCCAGTACTGAAATAAATGGGAAGACCAAAATGACTTAAATGAGAAATGAGTGGGTTTCTAAAGTTATGAGCACCACCAGTTGCCTAACCAGTAAGAGTTTAATTTGTCCTGTTAGCTTTTAAGCCTAATACCTCAACCTCAGTGGGTAGATTATGAGATTACTTCAGGGGATAGAGAATTCTATAACCAGTTTGTGAGCACAGGTGGAATCTTTATGAGAAATATATGTCACTCAACTGGGATTATTTTTTGAAATTCTGATATCTAATGTAATGTGAACATAAAGGCCTATATGATACAATTGTTTATGACAGAAAATGACAGGGATCCAGCAGCCAACACAGTTCCAGAAGATATTCAGGTGGAAAAAAAATTACATTTAAGTAAAGGCTAGTGAAGAATTAGATATTGTTCAGGTTGTGATATGTGATTACAGAAAAGATAGCAAGATGACAAAAATAATGAGCTTTCCATTTTAACATTTAATAGCAAAGGATTAACTGACTTTCAGATGCTTCTCTCAGAAAAGAACATGAAAATATCTTAACAATTCTTTTTAAAAAGTGAAATTATTTTAGAGGAATATCAGATGCTTAAGTGCTTAGTCATGGATACTAATAGTCTACATAGTACACTAGTGTGTCTAATAGCAAATTCACTGTATCCATGATTACATGACCTTCATTAAATTCTTGAATGGAATAAAACTAGTTTCATAAGCAAGATGATAGAAATGTGCCTTATTCATTTCATAATAAATTGCCAGTCAGCTTTGTTTACAGAAATAGAGATATACAGAAATACAGACTTGTCTCTATTAGTTTGAAATATATAAATATACATTTCTGTAAATATGTAAATATACATTTCTGTAAATATGCATGCAAATGTTAAATTCATCATGTTCTATCCTGCAGAAAGGACAGGTAAGAAGCAATTCCAGTTCTCAAAACTCAGTGGAAATACTTATTTTAATTAAAATTGAGTCAGGCCCTAAAATAGTCTCTCAAGAATTAAGGCCATATTAGGTTTGGCTCAAATGCTGGTAGCTGAAATATCTCTCAGGGCATTTTTTTCAAGCACTTATTACTAAGCTAAGCATGGGAATTGTTTATATAGGTCTAATTTCTGTGTTTTAGTGTTTCCTTAAAAACAGTTTTAATTTTATTTCTTTTTCCTGGATTTTAGATGAACTTAACTGTAACTTGACTTTCTAGTTATTTAGTCAACAAACAGCTTCTAATCAACCTTGATAAGAAAATATTTCTCCTGTAGCCCGCAATATATTCCCAGTCTACAGAAGAGCAGAAGGAAGTCAAAGATTAATTTCTTAGACTTCAAAATGCAACAAAAATGGACAGTGTTTGAAGATGGTGAGTCTGAAATTTGTGATGCATAGTAACCTACTCTGCAATTTCAGTATTTCTAGCTGCTTAGCATATGGTTGAACATGACCATATTTCTCCAGATCTCTCTTTCTTGTAAGATTTTGTAAGGGTTTGATATATTGCCATCTCTTTCCATGAGAAATCACAGATTACCTTAATTCCATTTCAGTAATGAATTCTAATAATATCACCATGAAAATGTGTATTTGAAGAACACTGTGAGAACTTTTTTAACCTCTACTTTTGTTTGTTCTGGGGTAGGTATCAACACCATACTTGAACAATAATGCATCAAAACTAATATTAATCTCTCTTCTTTTCAATATCTCTGCTATTAAAAAATAAAAAGAGTAATAACCATTAAACACAGCAGTGTTCATTGCACCTCTTGTAATGCTAGTTAGCGGGGGTGTGTGGGGGGGTGTGTGTGTGTGTGTGTGTGTGTGTGATGCACAGCGTGTCATGTCCTGCTCAAACGAAGGAAACAAGTGGCTTAGATTTGTAAATCCCCAACGGAGTGGACCATGGGTTCCTGCATCAATCCCACCAACGAGGGTTCAAGGATGCATCTGTCTTTGCTTCACTTCACTTCTTCTTTATTATCATCAGGTAACACAAGGCATACTATATCAGTTGCCATAATTTATTATATACTTAGTCAATTATCATGTAGCCAATTAGTACATTGTGGGAAATTAATAAATGTCTGGACTTTGAGACTTGTCTCATCGTTGTCCACTCCATTGGGGATTTACAAATCTAAGTCACTTGTCTCCCTCGTTTGAGTGGGATGTGACAACAGCATCACAGTTTCTTTACCCAAGTCTTATGATTCCTTCTCCAGCAAGATGTTTAAAAGCATCTGCTTAGTATCAAGCATGTGGATAGCACTCTTTTAGTTCAGTGTCTATTCTTATGGTTAAAACCAAGTATACACTCTTAAATGTTTTGGTGTAATTCTTCGAACGTGTTTTTTTCACAGACTTTATAAATGTAAAGAATTGCTACCTTTTCTACATTTTATCTCTAAAAGCACGAATATAATTTAAACATTTGTCTTTAACTTTGTTACATACTTTAACCAATGTAAGCCTTTACCTTGGGCATTACTTTATTCCTTGCATTCTGTTTCTATAGTTATTCTCCAGCCCTTTTTCTGATTCTGTATGTAAAAGCTACTTTTATTTAGGAATGAGTTAGAGGGGACATGGGTATGGTGTTTTCTTCTGACAGGC